ACATGTAACACTATTCAAAAATAAAATATTGGAAATGGATTCAGTAAAAAGACTCGCTCGATTGTCATTTGACATTCATATACTTTTTTTAATTGTGAAAATGAAGTCATTTTTTTGGGTTAAATGCGTATACGTAGATCTATTTTAAGTGTGTTCTTACCATTTTTATAAAACTTAGAGCGGCAGAGGTAGGCATGGCAATGGGTCGGGGCGGGGCGGGTATTGCAAGACCCGGACCCGCCCCGTGAACTTGGCGGGGCGGGTCCGCCCCGCCCCGTGACCTGCACGGGTCCAAACTTGTTGACCCATGACCCGCCCCATGCGGGGCGGGGCGGGTCCGCCCCGCCGCAACCTAATTAGCTAGTATGTATTTTTATTTGTGGGAAGTTGTTACCAATTGAATCTACATAATGTTTATCTCTAAATAATAATTAAAATTCAATATATTAAATCAAATTCATGATACGCTAAAAATTTCAAAAATTAAGGAAAAATTACTCAAACTTGAATAGTTAATCTAATTAGTTATATTAATAATTGAATAAATGTATTAAAATTCTATATATAAAGAAGACATTGATAATCTGTCGCCCATCTCATTCTAATATATATTCATATATTATAAGATCAAAGAATTTATGATTTATTGTATACACACATATGTATGTTGAAGTCTATTTGTAATATAAGTTAAGAAAAAGAATGTATACTTATATATTGAGCGGGTCGGGTCGGGTCGGGGCGGCACGGGTCAATTCTAATACCCGGACCCGCCCCATTGTATAGGCGGGGCGGGGCGGACCCGCCCCATTTGCAAGACGGGGCGGGGCGGACCCGCCCCAAATGTCTCGGGCCAGGGCGGGTCATTGCGGGTCGGTTTTTTTGACATCCCTAGGCAGAGGAGGTGGAAGTGGCGGAAGTAAAGAACTTACGAAAGCCACAAAGAAAGAAGACACTGTTGCACCAAACGCAACACAAGAACTTGTTATGATAGACAAAAAACCCGCACGCATGGGCACAACATTTAAACCAGGAGGTAAGCATGTGAATCTACAAAGCAAAAATACCAAACAACAAATGACAACTGCAAACCAGTCATATTTCAGAAGAGGGAAAAGCAAGGCAAACTACCCAATAATCAAACAAACCACATAACACCCAGATCAGACAACACCGGATCCAAAATGCCACAAACAACTTAAATCAATGAACCCGAGGGCAAAAGATCCAACCATTTTCTCACAAGCACCTCCTATAATCAGTGTGACAGCCATATTCATCACAACATAATGTCTAGCAACAACAAAAAAGAGGGACACCAACAATAATAACAGCCACCCTTTCAGACCATAACACCCACATACAAACATGTGCATACCCACATCAGTCATAGCCATCATCCCAAATAGGTTGGAAAAGCAGTAAAAGTGACTCTTGCCCCTCCACCGTGCAAACCCAAAGATAATAAAGCTAAGTCCTGACCTCCCACAGAAAACCCCAAAAAATTGGAAACAAACAAGGAAAACAACAAAACCACCTAAGGGAGAATTCCAATGAAAGTCACAGGTCCACACCCACAAAGAATGCATTTGCCGGGATTTCATGTTAGGCCAAGCGAGCATCAAGAAGATGAACAAACAGAGAACTCCCCGTAAAGAGTCCTTAAATGTTGAAGAGCACAGGTAAACGTCCCCACCACAACAGACACAGAAAGGTAAATAAACATAAAACCACAAAACAAACGAGATCCAACAGAAAACCTAAAACAGCCCCAAAACAACAGTAACAACAAAGTCAAAGAGAGAAGCAACGAAAGAGCATAGAGAGAATCAAAGCAAGAAAACCAAAAACACTTACACACGCGGAAGGTATGGTAAACAGTCGCAGCGGCAGAGACACGAAAAAGAATGGCAGCAAGAGCAAAATGAGCGGACGAGTGAAATGAGCGAGAAGTATCCAACTCGTAGGAGACCAGCCTCTACACCAACATCACCACCCACCACCCACTCGCTCCAACAGTGAAGGAACAGTAACATCGGAAATGACCTGGGATGGGTAGTCAGCGTTCTTGTGGTGCAGAGAGCTACGACGCTAGATGAATTTCCATCGCCGACAAATCACATGGGCGATAATTTTATTTGGTTCACAGGCAAAAGAGGGAAAGAAAACTGCTGCTTTTCGTTAATTAGTTGCTGCGAAGATAGGAAGAAGATTGTTGGGCTGTAGCAACAAAATAGAACGAAAGTAACTCCCTTCCACGATTTATAATATTGGGAGATACGCCCAAACTCAAAACAATCACAATTTGTTCACTTTTAATTGTTTAAAATAAAAACCACTCCCTAAAGATTAGAGTTATAGTTAAGACATTAACTCCACATAATATCAATGCTGACCCAAACACGGGTAATGATAGGAACTGTATAAATTACGTTCTATTGTAGCCAACTATTTACAATTACAACAAAAGTGATATTCCGCTATTTTTTTTACTTTAAATACCATAATGATATCCATAAAATTACATAGTATATCATAATATCAAATAAGTGACCTATTTTCATATAACTTCTATGGAGTATTTGATTATTCCCTGTCATGTTAAAAGTTTAGTCTGAAAGATTGTTCATGTTATTTTTGTTATTTATTCAAATAGTTTGTATTATCAAAATAGATCCGGATTTAACCGTCCAGACATGGACTTCTTCTAGCACTAGCCGAATCAGGTTGATCTGAGACCGGAATCGGGATCGAGTCCACCCACATGTACAATGTATGATATTTAACTTTATATCCAATCACATTTTCATGTCTAACGGTAATTATACTCCTTGAACAAACTCATGCATCGTGAATCGCACGGGGGCTATACTAGTATGCTTTAAAGGGAATGGGATGGAACAGCCTTCCAAACGCCGCTCCTGAATATTCTTGCGCCTATTTTTTTGAGTGAGAGTGAAAGGATAGAAAATTTTACGCTAAAGTTCCTCATCATTCTGTAAACTTTCTTCTTCTTCAATGAAAGCCTATTATCTTCATATTTGAGAGCTTCCATTTCTAATTTCTTACACAGAAAACAGGGACCTAACAGACACCATATTACGACAAGCTCCGATCCTTTCCATATTTCAACACTGACATTGTCCATAAATCACGGTAGAATTTGGAAAAAGTTACAACTTTTTTCCTCATTTAATTTGTTAATAAAGATAGTTGTACGCGACATTCTCCATATATCACGCTAGTAAATGGAAAATATTAACATCGTTTTTCCCCAATTTCATATGTCAACAACAATAATTGTATGTGGCATTCATCATATATTGTGTACAAAGATAATTGTGTACGGCACTCTCCATATACCACGCTAGTAATTGAAAAAAGGTAACATCTTTTTTCCTCATTTCATGTGTTAACAAAGATAATTGTACGCGGCATTCTCTATATATCACGCTAGTAATTGAAAAGGTTAGCATCTTTTTCCTGATTTCATTTGTAAATAAAGATAATTGTACTCATCATTCTCTATTCATCGCACTAGAAATTGGAAAAAATTAACACATTTTCCCCTCATTTCATTTGTAAGAAAAGATAATTGCACAATGCATTCTCCATATATTGCTAGTAATTGAAAAAATAACATCTTTTCCTCATCTCATTTGTAAACAAAGATAATAATTGTACCTGGTGGCATTCTCCATGTATCACACTAGCAATTGAAAAAATTGATTTTTTTTTTTCGTTTCATTTGTAAGCAAAGATAATTGTACGCAACATATTTTTCCTAACAATTGGAAAAATTGACTTCTTTTTTCCTCATTCCATTTGTAAACAAAGATAATTTTACATGGAATTCTGGATATAACAAGACAAATTAGATCAATAATAATTCCGCTTTAAATGTGATAAATATAAAATCAAATAATAATGTATAGTGACCACTGACCACTCTGGTGCACAATAAATAGTGTGACAATTAACACCCCTATTTATGATAGAAGCATATATTCTAATATAATATAAACATGCAATGATAAATTTTGAATATCGAGAGGGTAAAATAGATGTACAATTATACGTAGTATTACATAAATTAAAGTGCTGAATAGAAACACCGATATTAGTACGGAGTAACATTTTATATCAATTGGTGTCAACTTAGGGGTGTCCCCAACTATGACTTTGATGAATTTAAAAAGATCATGGATTTTGAAATCCGAGGGGAGTCTACAAGATTGTGGTGTTATGTTTTTGTATGTAGAAATCCACCAAAATTCATTACAATCCATCTAAATAAGTAATAATAGAAATCCACAGAATTTTTGAGAACACCTTGATTTTCATAGATTTCACCGAAATCCAAATCGGGGACAACTAAATTGTGACAAAATTTAAAACTCTATTAAACTCTTCATTGAAACTAGACTAGATGTGAAGTAATCATCGGGATTGGTCGGGGCAAGGGTAAGGGGTACGAGTACGAGGGACTGGTAGGGGTGGGGGTAGGAGTACAAGAAAAAAATGACATTTTTTCACAAAATGACAGAATTTTCACCAATCGGAGGTGGTGGGAGAGGTATTCATATTTTATGGGTTTTTACTATTTGTTATTAATTTCTAAAAAATAAATTAAAAAAAATCAATTTTAAAATTTTTATATTAATTTTTTTTACAATTTATTATTATTTGTTACGATTTATTATTATTTTTTATGTTTATTATGAATTAAGACATTTCATTATGAATTAATACCCTTAGGGGTATTTAGGGTAGAAATCAATGTTTAGTCCTACTGAAGGGAATTTAAAAAGTAGTAGTCCTATTTGTGTTTTTAGGTGAACTTTAGTCCTATAGATAGTAATTTCTATTAAAAACTTTCATGTTTAAAAAATATAAAAAAGAGAGAAATTAAGTCAATATTATTTGATACCAATGGACTTCCACTCCTATAAATATTTCATTTCCGCAAACAATAGGATCACACAAAAAAAAACTGATCCCATTAGTACAATGGATTCTCACTCGATAACCATTCCAACCTTTGTCTTTATCATTGTTTTTGCCTTTTCATTTGCTTATGCCTACGATCCAAGTCCTGTTCAAGATTTCTGTGTTGCACATCCAAAAGCTACTGGTACTTCTCATACCAATCTTACTACTTAGTTAGTTATAGCTCCTATATATATTTGCAGGGCCATAGATGAGGGCGTGCAAGAAGTGCTACCGCACAAGGCTTCTCGATTCAGAAGGCCCAAAATTTTAAATATAGTCTACATAATATACAAAATCTTTTTTATTTGATTAAAGATTCCTATTTTAGTATTTTGTTTTTAAATGCAAACATTAAATACTAATATTTATATGTAATTAAAATGCAATTGTTAATTATAAATGTGCAACTTCTTTATTACATAAGGTCCGGATAAGGCCTAGTTATGGTAATTAGCACAAATTTCTCGTACAGTTTGGACAAGCTTGGTTTTAAGGAACAGAAGGAGTAATTTTTTCAGTAACATCCTACTCTATATTTTTTTAGTTCATGATTTTAATTCATTTCTTTTCGGTTCTAGTTTTTTTTATCGATTTTGATTGTTCAAGTTCAAAATATGATTATATCTCAATGTCATTTGATTGTAGTATTTTTGGGTTATTTTTTAAAGGCTGTTTTTTATATTATATGTATTTAATATAACGCCTATTTTACGTGTATTGAGCCGGCCCTGTATATTTGATGTATATTATTATCATGGTAAACATGACATATACTTCGTAGTATAATTCATGCAGTAATTCACTTCTTTTAATTGAGAGAAGCCACGTATACACGTGCCAAATGTCAAAGAACAAATATATCTCTCAACTAGTTTTGGAATAATTAAAAAAATAAAATACAACTTGGAGCAAATTTGCTCTAGAACTATATATGAAAGAACATGGCGATGGGGAAATTTTCCAAATTAAAACATGAGTAAAAGCAAGGTGTTTTCTGAAACCACATTGCCATATAATGACATCATCAGAACAGATAGACATTATTTACTCATAATTAGGATAAAAATAGCAATTCTATTTAGGATAATCACCTTACTTTTCGTCCGTTTTAGGTCAATTTCCTCAGCAGAGTTACCGTACCTTCTTAATTTAAAGAGGTACGGTAGAAGGACCCTTATATAAATAAACAACGTAGTTTGTTTCTAAAATTTATTTGACTGTCTTCCCGATTGAATTACAAGTTGAAATTTAGTGGAAATAAACTAGACTTGACTATGAACATGATCAATAAATTCTACCGAGAAGACGCCTCCACCGCCTTCCCTCGGCCGCGGACAACAAGTCCTGTCACGCCGCCTATCACCACCGTCGTCTCATCCGGCATCGCCACCGTTTCATTTGGTGTCACCACCGCCTAATCCAGCGCCACCACCATCACATGCGCGACCAGCGCGCTCTCCAACACCACCGGCCTCCTATAGTCTTATTTAAAACAATTTCTTAATTACTAACTTAAGACTCATTTTAGTTGTTTGAAATGAAACCTGTGTGCAGTTTTTGTGAATGGGATGGCATGCAAAGACCCAAAGGATGTAACAGTGGGGGATTTCTTCACGTCGGGTCTGGATAGGGCGTTGATACAGGATCCAGTAATTTCAGGTGTAAGTTATAAGCGCGCCAGTGTGGCAGAAATACCCGGGCTCAACACTCTCGGGCTCACAATGATCCGTAACGAAATTCAGACCACGACCGTCATCCCACCCCACACCCACCCTCGAGCCACAGAGACGGTCTTTCTCTTACAGGGGCAAATGTACTTTGGATTTGTGGCAGTTGACCCAATTGATCCCACCAAAAACCGTCAATATGCAAAAGTATACAATACTGGAGATGTATTTGTGATACCCCAAGGCCTTGTTCATTTTGGTCAAAATACTGGTAATGATACAGCAATTACTATTACAGTTTGGAACAGTCAAAATCCTGGTTTCAACTATGTGCCACAACAGCTCTTTGGAAATGACACAGCAATCCCCAATGATTTATTGGCCAAGTCTTTCCGAGTGGATAATGATCCTGATGTAATTTCAGAAATTAAGTCACATTTCTGATCTCTTGTTCATGGAAAGAATAATCGATCTTCAATTAAATGATCCTATGTAGAGGGATCTTCAAGAGTTTCATATTTACTTTATAAGTACGGCCATATCATAACATGTGTTTTTGTAATTTTCTTCAACTTTCACTTTTATTATTATGCACTCTTTCAGTTTAATTAATATACCTTGACTCTGTTTGTTCGAAACATTATTATAAGGTGAATGTTCATCTCTTTTATTTTAGAGAAAATTATCACATACGTAGTATATGACTAAAAGATATGTATTTCTCAATGTATGACCTAGTAGTTTTTTTTCCTATTTTGTTGCCTGGTTTTTGGTTATCCTACTCACGGTTACACACTAATATTAAATTCCAAGCCTAAAATGTAGGGATTAATACGTGAAACCAACCCCTCCAATATGTTTACAAGTCATATTTCGGTCAAACCAGATTTTAGTCATATTATGGGAATCTCTCCCTCTTTTAGTATTATAGTAGTATTTTTTCCTTTATTTTATACGCACACGAGTGTGACATTTATAAAAACGTGCATTTTTATATTGAGAGTTCAACATATTTTTAGATTTAGTTTAAACTTTTTCATCCATTTTTAAATGTTCTCAATTTTCATGCCATATTGCCATGAAATGGACCTAAAAATTAGGGCACTTTTGCTTACGAGAAATATATAGACCATTTATTTAGGCCCTGTTTGCAAACACAACTAGGAAGTGCTTTTAACTTTTTAAAGTGATTTGAGAAAAAAAATGATTAATAGTAAAAGTTGGTAGTGTTTGAGGAAAAAGTGATTTTGAAAAGTAAAAGTTGGCGGTGTTTGGTAAAATAAGTGCTTTTTGTGTAATAGAAAAAGTAAAAAGAAGATTCTAGCTTTTAGCTTTTAAGTGATTAATTTAAGTAGATATTGTCATTTAAAAACATCTTTTTTAGTTTTTTTAAACCAAAAGCTGGGAAGTGCTTTTTTCAGTGTTTACAAACAGAGCCTTATATTGTGCAATGCTAATCGATTTTAATCATGTGACTAAATTAAATTGGAGCCCACATTGTTGAATCTCGCATGATGATTAATTACTTAGAGCATCATCATTGATACTAGTACTACTCAAATAAACAACTTTTTTGTGCCACATCATTGCCACATATAAAATCATAAATGATATCAAATATTCTTAACTTCTTCTCAATCATCTTAGATTATTGTAATTTTTGTTTAAAATGCATTAAAAGAATCTCTCTTACAAATTAAACATACACGTTTGTATTGTATGTAATTGATGCACCAACTTTTGAATCAACAATTCTTTTAATTTGAATGTGCGAGTAGAAATATGGGGAGCTACTGGCTACTTACCATACATTTTAAAAGTACCTTGCTCAGCATCGTTTAAAAAAGGAAAATATCACACGGCTAATCAAATTTTCCATATTTGTTGGACGGATCATTTAAAATAATCCGGTTGCTAGTTTTGATACCAGATTTTTTTATAAATAATCTTTGCAAATAATTTCACCACCTCAATCATAATATATAAAAAACATCCACATCATCAAATTAATCTCTAAATAATCTAAACAATGGGGATGCTCTTAGACATATCAAGAATTACGTTTGACACCATATAACGGAAAGCTCCGATTCTTTCCATATTCAACCCCCAACATTCTCCATATATCACACCAATTGGAAAAAGAAACAATGGCGTGAATATTACCCCTAGAGTTACATAGACAAAAATATGACCATTTTGAATTTGGACAAAAATATGACCCAACCTTTCTCCCCCAGCCCGTTGAATTCTCCCTAGAAGGCTCTCTCTCTCTCTCTCTCTCTCTCTCTCTCTCTCTCTCTCTCTCTCTCTCTCTCTCTCTCTCTCTCTCTCTCTCTCTCTCTCATCTCTCTCTCTCTCTCTCTCTCTCTCTCTCTCTCTCTCTCTCTCTCTCTCTCTCTCTCTCTCTCTCTCTCTCTCTCTCTCTCCCTCCCTCTTCGCACTCGATCTTCGCACAGGACGGAGGAGAGAGGCTTCTCTTCGCACAACCAGCACCATCCTCTCCAACGCTCCAAGCCACCGGTTCTCTCTATTTCATCTCGTCGGCGTCGACCTTATTCAGCGACGACGCCATCAGACCTTTGCATCTCTACGACCAGCCCTTTATTCCCCTTCTTCTCTTTTCTTGACAGCAAATAGGGAATTCCAGATCAATTTCGGATTCTTTCTTCTTATTTTCAAATCAAATTTGGGGTAGGGGTAGAGAGGTAGCTGGGGCGAGGGCGCGAGGCTGAAGGTAGGGAGAGGCTTGAAGGGCTATGGCGCGGCGTTCTAGGGTGGCCTAGGCTGTGATGCGCCGCTGTTGGGTGGGAGTTGTGGTCTGTCATTCCCGAGCGGGGCTAGGGGAGGGTTCTGTGGGGTTGGAGGGATGAGACTGGGTCCATGGAGATAGGTGGGGGAGCTGGGGGTCCAGATGGGGGCTAGAAGGGGGCTTGGGGGGTGGCGAGGTGGCTGCGGGATCGGAGGGGGTTGGGGGGCTACGGAGGGGGAAGGTGTCTAGGGCTGGGGAGTCAAGCCGGTGGCTGGTGGTGATGGCCAGCGACGGTGGTCTGCGATGGCGCTTGGGCAGGATAGGCCGGAGACGGTGCTGAGGGGTGTGAGAAGCAGGGGAGAGAGGGGGGAGACACGTGTGACTCTGGCCGGAATCGGTGTGTCACTGTGGCGGAGTCACCGCTGGCGGTGTCACTACAGCGGCGTCACTGTGATGGCGTCATTGAGATCGGCGGCAATCACTGAGAGCAGCATGACACGACTTATGGCGGTGACCATTGTTCTAAAACTCGCTAGGCGCTAGTCGGGCGGTTGCGTGGCGCCTAGGCGGCCGACTAGGCCGATTTTTTTGGCCGACTAGGCCGATTTTTTGGCCGACTAGGCCGACTAGGCCTCTACGGTTAGGGCCGCCTAGGCCGCCTAGGCCGATTAATCGGTCCGCCTAGGCCGATTTTTAGAACAGTGGTGGTGACAGTGACATGGGTGGTGGCAACAATGACATCCTCATAGTGACATGAAATCGAATAGTGACACGAATAATTGGCAGTCAATTATATTTTTTTCCAAATAAATAACCATCTTAGTCACATTTTTGTCCAAATTTAAATGTAGTCATTTTTTTGAAAAATAATTGTTGTTTAGTAATATTCAGGGAAAACCCCTTGAAAAAAATCAACATCTTTTTCATCATTTCATTCGTAAACAAAGATAATGTGTTAAGGTATGGCCCACTATTCCAATAAGTCCAAATTCACTTAAGGTTGTACCCGGTCATCATTTCTTTCTTTGGCAACTTACCATGTTTGGCTTCTATGGCTTGACCTATTTAATCTCCTTCCTGTCTGCATTCTATGGCTGGTCGAAAACCCTACCTCTCTAATACCCACCTATAGCTCCTTCGTGGAACCCTTGACTGAATTGGCCGAAAATTGGACGATGGTTGATGCCCACTCCTCCATCTTTAGACTCTAGTGGTTGAATTGCATCCTTTGTGGGTGTAAAGTAGTGAGACCTGAGCTGGAATCGAGTTATAACAGTGCTATCAGAGCCACGGAGGGACTGCCACCACCTCACCGCCGCTAATAGTCGCCGGAGGTCCAGGGAGTGCTGCCGCAGTAGGTCCAGGAGTTCCAGAGCCGTCCAGAAGTCTCCATCGGGTCCAGAAGCTGCTGCCATCACCGGTCCAGGACCTGCCGCTGCCTCGACGTCGTCTGCCTCCGCTTCACCGACCGCCTGGAAGCCTTCGCCAGAGAAAGTCGTTCGCTGAAGTGCTGGAAATCGATCGACGCTGGAACAATTGCTTGTCCGCCTATGATTTTGTTGTTCGCAGAAGGACTGAAGCAACGATTGTTGGGCCTCTGCTTCTGTGTTGTTGGGCTTCTTGGACTGCTGGTTGCTGAAGGCTGCTGAAGAGCTTCTGGACTGGAGCTAGGCTGCTTGGTTGCTGAAATTGAGCCGAACTGGACACCTGGAGCCGAGGACTGAGTCATTGCCGGTCAACTGCTGAGTTCAACAGCAGCCCACGCTGCCTACGGTAAGTCGGGTAACCCAACCTCGGGCCCCGCTCAGGTAAATTGGTTTTAACATCCTTGGTGTACCGGAGTGCCACCAGATTTATTCCCCCCAAATCCCCCGCTGCTGACCTACGTGGTCTAGGATGCCGGCTGTGCCCGGCCCCAGGTACGTTTACTAATCCTTTGTGTGATTTTCATTCGTAGTTCATTCATTTTAATTTCAATTTGAATTGCAATTACTTGGTTGTTTGAATTGTGATTACTTGTTGGTTTGTGATTAATTTTTCCGGTGAATAATATTTTGTTTGGATACACGTGTTGGATTTTGATTTTGATTTTTCTGTTGATTGATTCGTGGATAAACTCTCCGGTTAAGAATATTTGTTTGGATACTTGTTGTCCGAAGTTGGGAATATTTCTGTCCGGATTAGTTTTAAGTCCCGTTTATTTGCTTGTTGATTTAATTCTAGCCTATTTGTGCTTGTACGAAAGAACAAGGAGATTGTACCCGAGCTTTGTGCTCATTAGTCTTCTCGGCTTGTGCGTGCTAGTTGCTTCGTACAATTGATAGCCCTATAAGTTATAATTAATCATTTATCTGTCTGTTGAGTAAATAAAAATTTTATCTTGCTTATACGAAAGAACAAGGAAATTGTACCCGAGCCTTGTGTTCATTGGTCTTCTCGGTTTGTTTGTGCTAGTTGTTTCGTACGGTACGAAAGAACAAGGAGATTGTACCCGCGCTTTGTGTTCATTGGTCTTCTTGGCTTGTTTGTGCTAGTTGCTTCGTATTGTTCTTTGCTTGATAATTTTTTATTTACTCTCTTGCGTGTTGTGCTTGCTTTCCGGTAAATATGGCTGTCAATCAATATGCCATGCTTCCATTTAACGGAAAGACAGATTTTTGATATCTGGAAACAGAAAATCCAACAGAAAGTCTATAGAGCTGTGACTGGTCTCTATTTAGACTCTGAGGATGCTGCTAAGCGCGATGAAATGAATGAAACTGCTTGTTCCTCTATATACCTGAACCTTTCTGATTCAGTACTCAGGAAGGTGGGTATTATAGATTCTGCAAAGGATTTGTGGGACAAGTTAGATAAGACATATACCAATACTTCTTTGTCTGGTAAATTGTTTTTGCTTGAGATCGAAGTTCTTTAGATTTAGGCTTGACCTGACTAAAGACATAGATGAGAACCTAGATGTGTTTAACAAGCTTATCCAGAACATTAAGCAAGCCGGTGATAAACACATAGATGACTACACACCCATAGTGTTACTTAATGTCATCCCTGACTCATACAATGACGTCAAATCTGCCATAAAGTATGGTAGAGACGATATCTCGCTAGATATAGTCGTTAATGGATTAAGGAGTTAGACCTTAGACACTCGAGAGGTAGTGACATTTAGTCTAGGGACTTAGGTGAAGCGTTGGTTGTGAGGGGTAGGTCTAAGAGTAGATCTAGGAACCTTAAGAAAGGCAACAACAATAAGAACAATGACCCGGGTAAGATGAGAGATAAGTCTAAGAAGAGAGTGTGCTATAATTGCGGTAATTCTAGCCACTTTTTTTAAGGATTGTCCTAGCCCGAAGAATTGAAGTATGAACATGCTAATGTGGTAGATGATAATAACTTACATGAGGAAGTTTTTATTATTTGTGATTCTGCCAATTCTGTGTTGAGTAGCATGATTGAAAATGAGTGGTTGATCGACTCTGGTTGTACTTATCATATGACGCCTTTTAGATCCCTGTTTTCTTCTTATGATTCTTGCAATGATGGTTTTGTGTCTCTTGCTGATAATAAGAAATGCAAAATTCTTGGGGTGGGTGATGTATGTTTGAAGTTTGATAATGGGACTGTGTTTACTATGAAAAATGTGAGACATGTTCCTGATTTGCGTCATAACCTGTTTTCTGTCGCTGCTTTTGAGGGTAGTGGGCTTGAGGGTAAATGGGGAAATGGTTGCATGAAAGTTGTGAAAAATTCCCTTGTTTTGTTTAAGGCAAAAAGGGTGAATAACTTGTATGTGTGCTATGCTCAGCCTTTCTGTGATTCTGCTCATGTGGTCAGTTCTAATAAATCTGCTTTGTGGCATAATAGATTAGGACACATGAGTAATAGGGGTTTAGAGATTTTGCATAAATCAAGTTGTTTTGGTAAGGATTCTGTGTCCCCCATCTCTTTCTGTGAATCTTGTGTGTTAGGCAAACAGCATAAGGTTACATTCTCCTTTTCCCCTTATCCTAATCCCACTCAATGGACCTCTGTGTTAAAGTATGTTCATGCTAATGTGTGGGGTCCTGCTAGTGTCTCTATCCATGGGGGTAAGAGATAGTTTTTATCCATTATCGATGATTTTTCTAGGAAGGTGTGGGTCCGTCTCCTTGAGCATAAGTCTGATGTCTTTGTGAAATTTAGGGAGTGGAAAAACCTTGTAGAAAATCAAACTGGTAAGAAGGTCAAAACCCTTAGGATCGATAATGGATTAGAGTTTTGCAATAAGGATATGGACAAACTGTGTGTTGATTGCGAGATTAGAAGGCATAAAACTGTGCCCTATACTCCCCAACAAAATAGGATAGCTGAAAGAATTAATAGGACTGTTCTAGATAAGGGTAGGAGTATGTTTGCTACCGCCGGTTTGTCTAAAAAGTTTTGGGGTGAAGCAGTTAATACTGCGGTCTACTTGATTAACCGGTCTCCCTCTGTTCCCTTGGGTGGGAAGTGTCCTGAATCTGTTTTTTCAAACAAACCGGCCCCTTGATTTGTCTGATCTTAGAGTGTTTGGGTGTGCAGCGTATGTGCACCAACAAGGTGACAACTTGAATCCTAGGTCTAGGTTATCCTGAGGGTGTGAGGGGGTACATGGTTTGGGATAGGAACCAGGTAGGTTTCAAAGTTATGGTAGCAAATATTAATAAATATTAGCAAGTATTTGTAGGTGGTGACGGTGTAGTATTTGGAACTTTTTGCAACGTGTCATTTAATGTAACAATCTATTTAATTTAAAGATGTGTTAAGACTTGTTTAGTTTGAAGACAATTTGATTGTGTGTGTAATAATTATTTAGTTTACCAATCGTTCTAATTATCATTCTCTTTTATATGTCATATTCTTATTAGTTGATTAGCTGTTATTAATGTTATAAGTCTTCAAACAAATATTCATAATGTTTCTATTAATTTTAACACCCATTAAATATATCCTTTGCGCAATTGAAAATATTTCACGCCGCTGCAACCGTTACAGTCGGCTACAGGACGCTACAGGCCGCTACTGCGATGATCGCTACCGCTGCCGCTACGGCTATTTAAAACATTGATTATATTACTAGTATATTTCAATTTAGTGAATTTATTATACAATGTGTAGGGTTAGACAGATCTTATACATGGAAATGGCTCGATTGATACTTCTAAACGTTAAGAGCATCTCCAATGCTAAAACGTGAACGGTGCATATTTGGCATGAAGATAGCCAATTAAAAAATAATAAATAGAATATATCTCTCCTTATTTGAAGGATCTTGTATCATTTTGGTATGTTTTTCTTCACAATGTCAAGCACAATGTCTAGATGTAAACATTGTGCTTGAAATTGCAGAGGAAAACTTACCAAAAACACATAAACCGTGGAAAGAATGAGAGAGAAATGTCATGGATTCAATTATTTGTGTCCATTTCTCTCATGCCACATGTGCACCATGCACATTGTAGCATTGAAGATGCTCTAAAGGAAATGTTCTGCCTAGTCCTTCCTCAGTTCCTTAAGGTTATTACAAAAAAATTACGGGATTGACACAGATTTAAATATAATAGCTTATGTCAAACTGTTTTTGGCATAGATTTGGCATATCTCTGCCAAAATCCCTGCCAATTACGTGGAGTACTGTTTTATTAACTTTGATAGTGGACAAATACTAATCTCTTAAACAACAAAGTGCATCATGTCAAGTTGTAGAGTCTAATAGGTAAAAAAAAAACATTATTGTCCATATTTTCAAATGCAGACACTTGGTCAATATTTACACATAAGTAATAGGAGTAAATTGATATAACAGTTACTAATCTCAGCTCCATAAGGAAGGCATAGTGTTTCCTAAATTAGACTAAAATTGTCGTCTGTTACAAAAAACAAAATGAAGACAATATCATTTGATACAATCATACAAATGGATCGATCGGATGTCTCTATAAATAATTTGTTTCCGCTAACAATAAGATAGATCAAACTCATCAAACAAAATTAAAGCTGCATCAATATAATGGGATTATCTTTAGCAACCTTAGTTATATTTATTATATTTTCTTTTTCATTTGCTTACGCCTCTGATCCAAGTCCTGTTCAAGATTTTTGCGTTGCAGATAGGAAAGCTACTGGTACTTCTCATACCATTCTTAATTAAATATATAATGCCAATTATGTATTGTTATTATCGGAATAATTAAAAGATACAAATCATGCAAATATATACAAAGTTAACATAATTATATATGTGTGCGCTTATATTTTTATTGTTGTGTACGTGTGTTAATGTAATTATATGCTTATATAAATCTGTGTGTACACACATATATTACAAATTAAAAGTACGCATGGCGCACACGCGCACACACACATATATCACTCAATTCAAATATTTGGAGCATATTTGTTATTAAGTATTTTTTTTTTGTATAAATAGTCATGCATATGATCATAATTTTATCTACAATAACTCCATCGTAATAATACCTATGACATTATGAGCCAGTTTAGTAACACTGGTAAACTCGGCCGAAATTGAGGAAAGTCTGACTAAAACAATTGAATTGACTGAATTTGTTAAATACGGAAAAATACATTTAAAATATACAGAGTATTTTATAAATTAAAAATTAAAAAATAGCTATTATGATTTTCTACGTTAACTTCACACAATTTATTCAGAAAAATAACTACAACCTTATCACATGAAATCGAGAATTACTTCCTTTATGCCCAACCTTAATTTTTCTGATTAGAAACATTTGTGCAGTATTCATGAATGGGATGGCGTGCAAAGACCCAAAACTTGCAACCGTAGACGATTTCTTCACTTCCGGTTTGAGTACGGCTTCGCGTCCGCGGGCCGGACTCCCCGGGTGGAATTACAGCGCCGCCAGTGTGGAAGAAATACCCGGGCTGAACACGCTCGGGCTCACCATGATCCGTAACGAATTCGCGGTGGATTTCGCCATTCCGCCCCACTTTCACTTGCGAGCAACCGAGATGTCCCTCGTTTTACAAGGTCGGGTCTTCTTCGGGTTTGTAACCGTTGACCCAATTGACAGCGCCAAAAGCCGCGTCTTTGCAAGAAATTACAGTGCTGGAGATGTATTCGTTATACCCCAAAGCCTTGTCCATTTCGGGAAAAATATTGGCCAGGGAAAGGCAACGACCATTTCAATGTTCAGCAGCCAGAATCCTGGTCTGAAAATCATACCAGCCCAGCTCTTTGGAAAGGACTCAGCAATCCCGGTGGATGTGTTGTCCCAATCATTCCGAGTTTCTCATGAAGTAATTGAACAGATTAGATCACATTTCTAATGATCTCTCATGCTTACGAAGAATAATCGACAAATAAAAATGTTTACGGAGTACTTCGTACGTAGTATAATATTCGGTGTACAATAATTGGTAAAGTAGTAGATCAATGTATATTTATAATAAGTTTAATGATGTTAATTTAATTTACTGAGTCTATATTTATTTATTTAATATTTGGTGTACAATGAGAGAGGCAAATTTTAAAGAATCACAAAAAATATTACTCTCTCCGTCCCCCAATAAACTTCACACTATCCTTTTTGGGCAGTCCCAAAATTAACTTCACACTTCAAAACTTTCTTTATATGACAAATTATCTACATCAAAACAGTGCCAAACCGCAAATTATACCGTTGGATCATCCCACGGTGAGCATGGTGCTCCCGATCCCAGACGGTGCCGTTTGATTATTAAAAATGACCGACTTTCTTCAGATTTGCAGATCCGTGCCCTATCAGATTCAGATTTAGCTAAACCTTACAATTAGATCGTTTCTCCTCTTCCCTTCATTGCTGGAATCGCTACCAGAAAGGAGTTCAACTCACTACACCAAACTAAGTCACCTCCGAAGTTGATTCTTGAAGATGGGAGCTACAACAGTTTCCCTTCCCCATCAAAGCCTCCAATATCCTTCAGGACCCCACAGTTCTCATCTTCAACTCCAACGACGTACGTTTCCGCCATCAGCACCAACGAGGAGCTCCAGCCCGGTCACCTCTATTTTGCTCTCTTGCTGGCCCATTTCAAGTGCTCCGTAGTGCTCTGTTTTTTTCTTTTGAAGGATGCTCTCTGGTTCTCTTTTTTTGGGCAGCCCTACTAGTTTCTTGAAAAGTAGATTTGGGTTAAAAAGTTACATTTTTGTTAAAAATATTTACATTTCTAATGGTATGAAGTTACATATTCATTTATGTGAGTTACATATACATATTTTTATGCTTAAGTTACATTATTTTATAAGCGAGTTACATCTTCTAAAGCGCAAGTTACATTTGACATCAACGCGAGTTACACTTGTAATAACATGAGTTACATAAATAAATCATGTATTGAGTTACTTGAAACAAAAAAAATGAATTTTTAAAATCCTTGTGATGGTCATGATATTAAAAACAAAACATATTCACAATTTATGTAAAGTAATTGTGTAGTTACTCTTTTTTTTCATTGTTTACATTGAAATCAATGTTTCATCTCTTAGGCATCGTATTGGATAAGTTACATTTCAACTGACCTACAGTTACATTTCTTATCAACGTAAGTTACACTTTTTTACTCGCGAGTTACATCACGATATTACTGGGACAAAAAATAAAAAATTAAAAGCTACTGTTCACGCGTGTTACTGTTCACGCGCGAATTTTTTTAATTAAAAGTTGTACAAAACTACGTCGTTTTAAGAGCAGGAGTATGGTCCTCATCATGGGATGATACCACAGTATAGCGCCTTGTGCCAAACAGTGTCAAACAGTGTCCAAACAGTGTTTGAACAGTGCAAAATAGTGCACTCCACAATAAAGTCAAATTTATTTTCTTAATCCGTGTGAAGTTTATTGCGAGACGGAGGGAGTAGTAAAAAATATTAATAAATATATATAGTATAACAATCATATAGGGAGTACGTAGTATTAATGTTTGTTTAATATATTAGTAAAAAAGTAAAAATATTTGGAGTATATCAATACTCCAAATAATAAATATTTGTTTATTTGGAGTAAGAAAGTTACATATTTATACTGAAAGTACTTTAAACAAAGAATATTTTCGTATGATTTTTATATTATAAATAAATAATTTTCAATAAAAATATATAGTTGGTCAAAGTTTTGAAAATGACAAAGTTTTTCCGGACGGAAGTAGCAGAATCATATATGTTTCCTTGTCCATTTTCGAGGGCGGGTCTTCTTCGGGGTCGTAACCGTTGACCCAATTGACAGCGCTAGAAGTCGTTTCTTAGCAAGAAATTACAGTGCAAGAGATGTATTCGTTATACCCCATAGCCTTGTCCATTTTGTGAAAAATATTGGTCGTAAAAAGGCGACTACCATTTCAATGTTCAGTAGCCAGAATCCTGGCCTCAAAACCATACCAGCACAGCTCTTTGGAAAGGACTCGCAATCCCTATAGATGTACTATCCAAATCATTTCGAGTGTCTACTGATGATGTAATTGGACAAATTAGGTCATACTTCTCATATCTTATTCTTACAAAGAATAATCGCCAAATAAAACTATTTAGGTATGTAGATGAGGAAGTAAATTATAAGTGTAATAATGTTTGCGATTAAGACAAGAATAATAATACTTTCATGGACAAAAAAGAGACCTTTTGTTTACGTTTCGGAAAACAGACTAAAAAGGAGTAACATAACCATTATACACTCCCCGCTTGACCCATTACTATAATGACTAACATCCATCTGTCTAGTGACTAATGTCCGCTCATCTAGTGACCAACATTCGCCCGTCTAGTTACCAATGTTTGCTCATCCAGTGACTAATGTCCGCTCGTCCAGTGACCAATGTCTGCCTGTCCAGTGACCAAGTCGTGTGATTCTAGAAAAAATCTCCCTGGGTTACAAGTGCTATGTTTCTACAAAAAAATCTCCATGGGCAGTGAGAAATAAACTTACTCATCAAGTTGGGTTCAAACCTTTTAAAAAAAGGAAAAATTCACAAGAATAATCCAACCTATTCACGTTCTTCCAACATTAATCCCAAATATGAGTATTTCTAAATTAATCTAATTTATACATACCATCTTCTCAAATTAAGCCCATGACCGGAATGAAGGGATTCATCAGGTCACCCCACACGTGTTTTGCTCTAATTGGACTTCACACATTTTTACCCTTTTCCATTTCTTTCTCTCTTTTTTATTTCTCTTCTCTTCTGCTGGAAAATTTTCTTCCGCTCAGACCTATCTCTTCCTTCATTTTTCTTGTACTCCGTATTCTTCTTCTCTTTCACTGGACATCCTCTTCTGTCCATTCTTCTTAATTTCTTTTACAACTCCAGTCAATCAACTTAAGGGATGGACGGAAGAAGAATCAGATTCCCTCCTTCATCGTTATTCCGGCGAGTACATCAGGATCTCCATTCGGTCATTCTATTAGAAGCAGAATCAGATACCCTCGTTCGTCGCCGTATTCGTCTATACCAGAAGCAAGATGCTCCTTCGTCCCATATTTGACAAGAGAGATGACTTGGAGCAGCAAAGACACCCGCCGCGTCTTCCGCCGGCCGCCACCACCTTCCTTTTAGCCGGCGATTTTCCGGAATTGATTCAAGAGGAAGATGAAAGTGCCGGCAACAACTTCTGTGGATTGAACTACTCTTACGGTCAAAGATGAATTTTGTAGAGGAAGATGAACACTCCTCATGTCTTCTTCATAGATGAAGAGTGGAGATGACGATCTGATGAGGATGGGGTGGATCCAGACGCAGATCAATCTTTTCTCTTTTTCTCTTTTCTGATTTAATTTTTACTGGTTTAAAAGGTTGCAGGTGAACTGGATCAATGGCGGAAGACAACATATAAATCTGGGATTATATTAGAATAACACATATTTGGGATTAATATTAGAAGAACGTGAATAGGTTGGATTATTCATGTGAATTTTTCCTTAAAAAATTCCATTTACTTAACTAACTTGAAACTCTGAAATATTAGAATCCACAATCCATTTATGTATAATAAATGATGTGATGGTCAACAAGTGAGTTTTCAGCGACCCTACCTTTTAAATTACCAGATTTGCAATCAGCAAGGCCGCCCAAGGGGCACTGATTGCTACACAACTTTTAGCACTGATGGGTCAAAAAGATGCAGCATGCGTATTTAAGTTGCTATATCACTGCTGTTTTAAATTTAGTTGGTTATTAGCTTACATAAACTGAGTATGGTTTGAGCAAAAAAAAACTTGTGTATGACACAAACAGTTCATATTTTGGGTTGTTTTCAAAATTTAGATGAAGTAATAGTTTTCTTCAATCAAAGTTGGAATATATATTGGAGAAACTTTTACTTTGTTAAACATAGATTTAAATGACATTGGTTATGCTCAAATAAAAAGGACATTTAAGTTTATTTGAAATTTCAGACTTGAATTGTGTTTAGAAGTTAAGTTGGGAATATAGGTGGTTAGGTTTTTGAACACTGGATGTGATTACTAGACTCTTGTATATGATACCATGGTATTAGGGGTGGATTCGGGCCGGGTTCGGGTTGGGCCTAGGCCCGGGCGGGCCAGCGGTTCAGAATTGCTGGACCCGGGACCGGCTCTGGTAGCCACCGGGTCCGGGCCGGGCCAGGCCGGGCCGGACCTCTGGTTTGGTTTTTTTTGGCTTTCCTAACCTCCCCTCACCCCCCCCCCAAACCCCCCAAACCCCTCCTAACCATCAAGCCCAACCCGGGTGGAACCCCAAAAAATGAAAAAAAAAAAATCAATTTGGCCGGGACCCGGGCCCAACCCGGCTGGGCCAGTTCGCCAAATGTAAGACCCGAGCCCGGACCCGAGCCCGGACCCGAGAACCGGGCCGGTCCCGGTCCCGCACAGTAGCGGGCCGGGCCGGTCCACGGGCCGGGTGGCCCGACCCGAATCCACCACTACATGGTATTATAAAAGGTTAGAAATAAGAGAGTGTTAGGATCTGAGGGAGCAGAAGCAGAAGCTGGAGTGTTTGGGTGAAAGTGCAGAAGTAATTCTGGTATTCTAATTTACTCCTAGAATCAATTTTTTTAGAAGCGGTGTGTGACCAGCTTCTGAAAACTGATTATGATTCTGTGTCTGCTTTAAAAAAGAAGCAGATGCAGAATCAGTTCCAAACACCCTCTAAATTAGGTATTGATTTTAAAGGCAGCACTCCAGCCTATACAAACTAATTTGTCTTCCTATACAAACTAGTTAAGTACTTCTTCCTTGTATAGGAAGACAAATTAGTTTGTATAGGCTGCAGTGCTGCCTTTAAAATTAATACCTAACTTAGGTGGTGTTCTATAACAATTTTGTAACAACTTTTATATTTGAAACTAGCTCTTAGCAATTGACAGTATCTTTATATGATAAGAAGTACATTTCAATGGATTTTGGACTATATAACTTCTCAAGGGGTCACTAACAGTGAATTTCTTGCACAATCTGGTTTGGAGGTGGAAACCACTATTCATCAAGCTTTCCCAAAATATTAGGGCTATTGAAATACTCCTTTAGTTTTGAGGAAGAAGGAGATTGAAGAAAA